CTCCCATCTCCTGACTTTGTGGGGTAGAGGAGCTGATAAACTGAGTCTCTGTTAGGCACCACTGTCCTCTGTTCTCTCTGGGCCACAGTGGCACAAAGCCTGGCACAGATTACACCAGTCAATCTGGTGTCCTTTCTCCTCTCTGCCCTAGGCAGCAGGCAGACCCAGGCCACCACTGAGCTGGGCAGTGACATAAATGTACGTTTCTTTTGCTTATAAGCACAAGGTCTTTGGTGTTCCTCAGCTGACTGGTGGTGAGCCTGGGATTGACAGGTATTCCTCTCACATTTACGGGAAAGCCCTACTTTGCAATACCATGCACTGGCCCAGATAACAATGAGCTGGACCTTTAAGTTCTATTTTCCACTGTCTTGTTTTTCTTTACATTTACTAGAGAATCAGTCTCTCTGGGATAAAGGATTCCTGGACCAAGACTCTCAGAAGGTCCCTGTTTTCTAACACAAGTGTAGACCTGTCTTCTTTTCCTTCCATAGGACCCATGGGGTAAGAAAATTCCAGCCTGCCTCCTTCCTCTGTTCTCCCATCCGGATTTAGGCCAACTAGGTGGTAACCTCTGAAGGCAAGTTGATGCTTTCTTTCTAGCTGGAAGATTTCTCTCCATTGTGCTAATCGTGCCAATACCTGACACTTGGAATTGGGAGTGAATAGCAGAGTCCTGATCACAAGCCAGTGCTACAAGTTCACTTGCTCTTACCCCTGCTTGCCGAGGTCTAGCAAACTCCCATCTTGGAACACTCGTGGGATGTTCACTACTTTTATGTCCAATTAAGTCAAATAACCAATCCCAGATGGATCATGTTTCTGTGAAGATCTGTAGCCCACCATTCACTCTCTGGTACCAATTTTTTAATCAGTTGGGTTTTGGGGGTACGAGTAACCAAATGGACTCTGGCTAACTCAGCAGAAAATCAATTTCTTGGAACTATATTCGGTAGCTCACAGAGCTTATGTGAAGGCTGGAGAACTGGGATAAGAAAACAGGCAGTCAAGGCAGTAACATCCCCAGCCCAGGTCATCCCACTGGCCTCAGGTACATGGTGTGTGTCCATTGATTTAGCAAATGTGTTCTGTCTATTGTGATTAGAAAGAAGAATCAGAAATAGTTTTCATTCTCACCTGACAGATAAGGGTATTCATTTACAGTTTTGTCTCGGGGTACCATTAACTCACCTGCCCTTTGTCGTAATATAGTTCGAAGACTTCTGGGTCTCCTGGACATCCCATGGACCATCACACGGATGGGTTACATTGGTGACGTTGCGACGACCAGAGAGAGTGAGCAAGAGGCGGCCAGCTCACCCACTGCAGAGGAATAAATTACTGACCTGCAGCAACTGAAATGAGAAGCACATACTGGCCGTTTCCATCGGTGGAAACGCTAATCCAGACAGAATGAATCTGTAGCGACAGAAAGCGGGCCAGTGGTTGCCTGTGCTGGGGTGGCAGAGGGGACACGTGCAAGGGCCCAGGGGGATTTCAGGGCTGACTCTCCCACCGGGGCTCCGCACGCTCCCCGCTCCCAGCCGCCCGCCTGGCTCCCACACTTCCCTCGGGAGCCCCACCTACGTCTGCCTAATTCCAGTGTATATTCAGGTTCCCTTCATCTCCGTTTGCTTAGGTAATAATTGTATCCTGACAAACTGTAGGCATTTCTGAGGCCCCTCGTTTCCCCTTTCATTTCTTGTTTGTTTTTTAAGCTTTCATGGTTTCTAGTAAACGTACTCAGGTATGCGACTCTCGCCATCACTACAACCCAGTTGTAAAACATTTCATCACCCCAAAAAGTACAGCAGGACGAGTCCTGGGAAATAGAGGTGGGAAAGGGACGAGGCCCTGGTGGCTTCTCAGAGCCCCCGGGCCCTGGGCCTGGACCCCAAGCCTCCCCCTCCGCTCCCCTCCCAGGCTGGCCCCGATGGGGAG